AGGTGGAGGTCATGTTATATGTTATGAATCAGTACTGCATTGCATTCTCATCCGTATTTTAACCTTTTTGCTACGTTAACACTCATCATACAATGCTCCATCAATATCATCTATCGTACATAATATAATAATAGCTATAATTTCCAGCGCATATTTTATAAACCTTTCTTAGGGCAGCTAAATTCATATACTCTTGACAATTATTTTATATTTATCAAGTAAGATTATTTTGATCACCAAAAATAGGGTATCTAAGACCTTATGTCATTCAAATTATGAAGAATAGAAATAGAAACGTGTCACAATACTAATATAATTAATTAGTTCTTTTTTCCTTTATGACTTAACTTAACATAAGAGACCAATCATTCTCATGCGCATGTATTTGAAGATACAGTATATGATACTTTATCTGAGTTCACCATCCTACCTCCCCAAACGATGGATCGTATAATTTTCATTTTTGAAAAAATCTTTGACTGAAACATCTTCTTAACCATTGTTATAAGACTAATCTCATAGATATCAAGGTATCTTTTCAACTATTATTTTCTTCAACATTTAGACTTTAGATATTCTATTAAAAGTGTATTTTGCTAACCATTGTACTCATCCCTTATCTTTGGATTGTTAACACTTAAAATAAAGGATTGCCATATACCAAATCAAATTGTGCTTATTAATTCGATCGGTTCTTGATGTATGTGATCTTCTTAATTTTTCTTTTTGATCAGATTCGTTCCTTTTACTATGACATATAAAGATTATCTTGGATTTGTTAATCCAATTAATAAAGATTGAAGTCACCAATTGATTATGATGCCAGGGGTACTCGCATTACATCCTCACTAGTAATTTGATTTTTTTTGGCATTGATCGTCAAATGTCGTCGGCTAGCTCTTGTATTGTTTGAATTTAATTCTCTAATGGTGAAAAGTTTATTACAGAAAATAACGTAAAAAGATATAAGCATTAATTATAAAATTTACTATTAAAATTTAAATTATTACATTACATATAATTATAGTCTCAATCGTTTCTTTTTTATAAGACTAGAGACTAGGAAGCACCTCAAATCTAAAGGGGTGATCAAAACTAAAATAAATAATTTTATAATCATAAATTCCAAATTTTTATTTTATTATTTAAAATAAAATGCTTCACTTTAAAGGCATTCTTAAATTCGACTTTTATTTAAGAATGTGACAATGTCTTTTAAATTGTTTTGTTTTTTTCCTAATCATGCTATAAGATAAGTGCTCCTAGCTGTAAGTAAGTACTGGGGCATACATAGCCGTGGGTGGAGTTGTCAATATTCCAAAGGTCTTCACGCACTTGTGTTAATTCTTTTTTCTCCCAACGTGGACCCCTTTTCTACACACAATTGAAGTTGTGAAGTTGTACTAATTAAGTTCCTAAGTAAATGTTGAATCATTTCAGATTTGTCTTACATATCTCCCTTAGTAAAACTCATTTGCCTGTTTATCATTTTGTCACGTACGTGGGCCTGATCTGTCTCAGTTAATGAAGCCCCAAATTTTCACTTTCCTTCTTTGTTGAAAAATTGTTAGGGAATATGCTAACCAAATCATTTGATCAAGTCCAAAGATGTAGCAGGATTCACTTGATCACTATGAGAAAACTGCACATTCACAATCAATGCATAAAGGGATCCTTTTCTTCGAAGTAGAGAAATCCTATTGTCTTCGCTACTTTTCAAACTTTGAAATATAATGTTCCAATGATTTGGGCACCCCCTTCCAATCAAAACCACATCCATTTTAAAGTGTTGGGGGCATTGATGACCCCAAAATGAGCGAGGCTCTAATTATCTACTTAGGGTGCTCCATTTTGAATTATAACAAAAAGATAAAAAGAGTGCTCCAAGATCAAACGTAGGTGCCCCCACCTGATCACAATATCATGATATAGCTCATTTGTTTTAGCTTTTTATCTTTTCACAGTTAGCAATGTGATCATATATATGAAGCCTTCAATCATGAGAGAAGTGTAAAAACGACAAGAGACAATAAACTCAAAAGGGCATGTTAATTAGATGATCTATTCGATAAATAAGCTTTTCAGAAAGTAATATAGCATACTAGTATCAACGAATTTGACAGCAAAAGAGGTGCTAATTAAATTTTACTTAATGTCAAAAAGTTTAATCGTCCCAAGAACTGTTCAGTGCTGACTACATATATTTCTTCTGATGATAAATTTATTTATTTTAATTAGTATTCTCTGTTCAATCATCCCTATGGTACTTTGAAAGCTTTATAATTTGAATGTTCTTTCCACACACTTTCAACCGAAGCACTTCTTTTGTTATATGACATTTATTAACGAGCAGATTCTTTTGGCTCTTATAATGCACAGGAGAATAAGGAAGTTGCATAATTAGAATATATGCTTTTTTTTTATTTTTTTTCTCCTTTTGGTTCTTTTTCTTCAAATATACCTTAAACTCTTGAACAGATCCTTGCCTTGGAATCCACGCTATATATATGATTCCAAAATTAAGCTATCCACAGACATTAATTTTTATCTCTTCCATTTTCTTTTAAAAGAATGATAGAATTACTTTTTTCGGCAATAAAAAAATGATGAATTTAAAAGTAAAGGCATATAATGATTAATTTCTCATCATGCTTCGAATCTTGCAAGGGTCAGATTAATGTGACTACGTGAGGACCCATATGCTTCCTTATTATTCAGTTGGTCAAAGTTATGTCCAATCGCGCGTTCTCATATTTCACTACTAATTATTTTGCGTGGTAAGACTTCATAATAAATTAGTACAAAAAGGTGAATACAATTCAGGAAATTTAACAGAACCATTAGTCTTTAGAGCTTCAAATTATTATGTTAATTATTAAAAAAATCAATTATTATGTCACTGACTGGAGTATATCTCCATACAACTATTTTCCCTTTCTTCCTTTAATTGCCAGGTTTGGTTTATTCATTTTTATGTGTTTATTGTAATTTTTATTTAATTTTTTATATGAAATATCAATATTAGTATTTTAATCTGAGAAAAAAAAAGTATTTTAAACAAAAATAGCTTGAATGAGAGTGAAAACATACTCCAAATAAATCTTATAAGAATGCATTTAAATATAAAGCTTAACTGACAATTAAGTACATTTATACACATGCTGGTGTTATCCCAAGATATCCTAGCCACCTTTCATGTATCTCGACGAGAATCTAGCATGATGAGGATAAAATAAATCTTCTATCTCACTCCCCAAAAAGAAAGAATTAAGGAAAGCAGGAGCTAGAGGATATAATTCATAAAAAAAATGATTATATATATATATATATATACACATTCAGCCAATTAATCTAGAGGGATAACAACATGACATGAAAGTAGTCAAAAGTTGCAATGCTGAAAGTGCATAATTAAACTCTTACAGAAATGTTTTCTGGCTTCCAAGAAAAAACAAATGAGGCATCAGTGTTGCATAAACAAAATGGGAACACAAATGAGTATGCATTATAACAGTATATTTCAGTTGTGCTTCCTTTTTTTGGCAACACAAAAGGTTTTTTAAGAGGATTGTTGGAAATTATAGATGAGATTAATAGAAAAGGTGATTGCAGTTTGCAGGAGGAGAGAGGAGCGATGCTGAAAAAGATCCAATAATGCTATGAAGGATAGCAGACAGAGAGTTGCTTTTTGGGTACTTGGGGAATAAAATGCTGTCTCTCTACGAGGATTGGCGTGAAGAGAGAGAAACAAATAGAGTGCTACTTTTATTTTATCTCTTCACAACAATCTATTTTAATTGGATTTGTATATCTTCATATATTCATGTACATAAATCAGGAAAAAAAATTAAAAATATGAAAAATATAAATGATCACTTTTGCTTTTATTTTTATTTTTATTTTTATCTTCACATTGGTTTCTTTCCACCTTTCTAGCTTTCTCCTTTAGTACCTCATTTTGAATTTCTGCTGGGCTTGCCTGGCTATTCAAAGGATGATGTGGAAGGGGGAAGCTTTGTGCAACTTCAAGTAAAAATTTTGAATTGTGGGGCCCCACTGTTGTGATGTACTATCTAATTTCATACGCGACCTCACTAGCACAAAAATAACACATTGCAAAAAATTACATAATTTAAACATATCATTTAGTTATTTAATATTGGAATCAAATATAGTTTTTATACACCCTTTTGTAATATGATATTAATGATCCACATGCATGCATAGTGCTGTTGAAGGTAACAGATGACTGCAGTCTACAGCTTTTCATCCTTTTAAATTATATCCAAAATGCCTGATACAGCTAAAATTCAGCAATAATGTTCATTGGGCCAATTGGTATATATTAATAAGGTCCAAAAGCGTAAAGTGATATATTTGTAAAAAAACGACATTCTGATTAGAATTAGAAAAGAATGCCATGCATTAGAAATCCGAGAACACCTCATTACATCATTAACACATTTAGATTGGAATGGACTCCAGCTATAACTGTAAACTGGAGAGAGAGAGCAATGAAGCGAAAATAAAAAGCTACATAAGAAAAAGCTGCTGCTTTAAACTAAAACCAAAAGAGAATTAACGAAAAGGAAAAGTGAAAATAAAACAAAAAATAACAATGAATTACAAGAATTATACTATAAAGAAGTGGGGAGGCCTAGTCTTGTGTTTCTAAAGCTTGTTATACTTGCTCTAAGCTATCTGATACAAACTCTCTCTCTCTCTCTCTCTCTCTCTCTCTCTCTCTCTCATTCATTTTAACTTGTTACACTTCTTATCTTTCAAACCCTTTGATCAGTTAGTTCAAGGTTCCTCTAGTGACAAGAGGAATAACAGTGACACTAGCTTTGTTTGCAAAGCAAGGCGAAAACTCAAAGGGTGGGGTGGTGGTGTTTGGAGAGGGAAAAGAAGATAAGAAGAGGAAGAAGAAGAAGTGTGGTTGTGAAGAAAAGGTTCCAACAGAAAGGGGGTGGTGTGGGGGGTGGGGTTTTATCCAAGTGATGCGCTCAGGAGCTTGTACATTGCAACAGACCCTCACAGCAGAGGCTGCTTCAGTGTTGAAGCACTCTCTTGGGTTGGCACGCAGAAGGGGCCATGCACAGGTCACCCCTTTGCATGTGGCTGCCACTTTGTTGAGCCTAAGAGCCAGTTCCTTGAGAAGGGCTTGTCTCAAATCTCAGCCACACCAAACTTCACACCCTCTTCAGTGTAGAGCACTTGAACTTTGCTTCAATGTGGCTCTCAATAGGCTTCCAACAACTCCTGGCCCTTTGCTCCACTCTCAGCCTTCTCTTTCCAATGCTCTCATTGCTGCACTCAAGAGAGCACAGGCTCATCAGAGAAGGGGTTGCATTGAGCAACAGCAACAACAGCCTCTTCTCACCATCAAGGTTGAGCTTGAACAGCTCATTATATCTATTCTTGATGACCCTAGTGTTAGCAGGGTTATGAGAGAGGCTGGTTTCTCCAGCACTGCTGTTAAGAGCAACATAGAGGACACTTCTTCAGCCCCTAATGTTTTTCAGTGTTACAACAGTTCTGGTGGTGTTTTCTCCTCTCCTTGTTCACCTTCTCCTAGTGAGAACCAAAGAGAAAGCATCAATGCTTCTAGTGTTTTCAGGCAGAACCATTTCTTGGCTGCTTACACTTCTGATTTTAGTCCACTTGTGTTTTCTCCACAGAAGAAAGGCACAGTGTTTCCCATCACTGAGTCACCCTCTTCCAAGGATGATATCAAGCTGGTTCTTGATGTCCTCTTGAGGAAGAAGAAGAGGAACACTGTGATAGTTGGTGACTCAGTGGCACTAACTGAAGGCCTAGTGGCAGAGCTAATGGGAAAGTTGGAAAGAGGTGAGGTTCCTGATGAGTTGAAGTCAACACATTTCATCAAGTTTAAGTTTGCACCAGTTTCTTTGAGGTTCATGAAAAGGGATGAAGTGGAAACGAACCTCTCAGCACTGAAAAGGAAGGTTGATTCTGTTGCTCCAGGAGGAGGAGGAGCCATTTTTTATGTTGGAGACTTGAAGTGGACAGTGGAAAAATCAGCTTTATGTGAAAAAGAGGAAGGAGAAGTTTGTGGTTATAACCCAGTTGATCATCTAGTTGCTGAAATTGGCAAGTTATTTTGTGACTCCAACACTAAGGTGTGGCTTGTGGCCACAGCAAGTTATCAAACATACATGAGGTGTCAAATGAGGCAACCCCCTCTTGAGACCCAATGGGCTCTTCAGGCTGTTTCTGTTCCATCAGGTGGACTTGACTTGAGTCTCCATGGTTCCAGGTAATTAATCATTATATCTTCATTAATCAGTCTTATTAGTTTAATGCCAAAAAAATGTAATTAAGTAGGTAAATTAAAAAAAAAATGCATGCTAGTAAACGAGAATGTATAAGGGTAAAAGAAAAAAAGGAGCATACAATCAAAAGTTATCCGGTGATTATGATCGTTCTTTGAAAGGTTAATTTGTTTTGCATTTTGTTGCTAAGTATGTACGGTCTCTGAACTATGCCAGAAGCCACTGTCAAAAGCATGGTTGGTTGGTAAAGGTAGACGTGAAGCAGAACCTTTCTGCCTCACTTTGTTTTGTCAGTGTATATGTAACCTCTTAGACATTACGGATTCACATGATACTGTGTAGTAGGAACCATACTTTACCAAAAGCAAAAATGAAAAGAAAAAAGGAGTTATATATGTATATTTTCAGAAAATATTATATGCCTTATTGCTAACGTTACATTTTCTCAAACATGATTTACAGCTACTTTTGGAAAGTATTAAGAACGTGATAAAAAGTTACAAGAACTGAAATAAATAGCTCCTGATACAGAATATATTCATTAGGGTCTATTTGTTTAACTTTGGATGTTCATTGAATCTTTTGCACTCAATTTGCAGTGTCCGTGATTCAAAGATGACGATAACACAGAACCCATCTCATATGCTGGAAACAAAGCTCTTTGGTAACAATAAGGAGGAGCAGGATAAGCTCAACTGTTGTGAAGAATGTGCCTCCAATTATGAAAAAGAAGCTCAATTGTTCAAACCAGGTCAAAAGAACCTGTTGCCTTCGTGGCTTCAGTCTAACACCACCGAAGCCCATCAAAAGGTACCAAAATTTTAACTTTTTTCACCTCTAGTACAACAAGAAACTAAAAACCTAACTCCTGAAAACTCTATCTCATATATAATCCATTATTCCAATACCTTACTGCTATTAGAACATAACTTGAGTCATATACAAACACACTTAATAAGTGAGAAATAAAAAATGAGAAAAGTAAATATTAGTTGTAACAAAAATAACATGGTTAAAATTAAATTTATTAAAACAGTTTTTTAGTTTTTAATCATACAATAAGAATTTATTTATAATAAATTTTATTAAATTACAAGTTATTACAGAATTCAATGCTATAATTTTCATTAAAAATTACAAAATATAATGCATAATATTTGGTAAAAACTTATTATTTATTAATTTACTATTTTAGGCCTTTGTACATGTAAAAAAATAATTAATAAAATAACTTCATCTAAGAATGGTTAGGGTAGTGAAAATTAACTCTTCACATCCGGCAGTAGATATGTGTGTATATGCATTTGTTTCGATTAGTAGAGAGATTGTGGCTTATGAACATTTGAATGTTTTCAGGATGAATTAACCCAATTGAAAAGGAAATGGAACAGACTATGTCATTGTCTCCACCAGAGCAAGCAGCCTCAGAACAATTGGAGCAACAGTTTATATGGCAATCAGAGTTCAAATGGGAAGATCTACCCTTACAACTCATCATACCCTTGGTGGCCAAACCAGGGTAGTGTCTTCACAGATTCAAGTTCTATATCCTTTGCTGATTCACCAGCTAAACCGGCTTATAGCCCCAATAACGTTGTACCTCGGTTCAGGCGCCAACAATCATGCACCATAGAGTTCAATTTCAGCGATGTAACTCAGAAAAAGCCATCATCAACGGAGACAACAACAACAACAACAACGTTGGATTGTCTTAAGGGCATGGAAGGTAATAACAAAGAAGTAAAGATTACTCTTGCACTTGGAAATTCAACATTCGGTGGTTCAGGGCAAACGGTGGAAAATATAACTACTGATAGAACACTGCGAAGAGCTCATATTTGTAAACTGTTGCAGGAGAATGTGCCATGGCAATCTGAAACAGTTCCTTCAATAGCTGAAGCCTTGGTTGGTTCCAATTCAGCAAAGCAAAGTGCTATTACTTGGTTGTTTATGCAGGGCAATGACTCTATTGGGAAAGCAAGGTTGGCACGTGCCATTGCAGAATCAGTGTTTGGTTCAGTTGATGTGATCCTTCACTTGGACATGCTGAGGAAAAAGGAGAATTCAGCAACCCCATTTTCTGAAATGGTGGTTGGAGCATTGAAAACCCATGAAAATCTTGTGATTTTGATAGAAAGTTTTGATTTTGCTGATGCCCAGTTCAGGAAATTCCTTGCAGATGGGTTTGGAACTGCCAAGTTTGGAAATTTATGTAGGACTGAGGAGAATTCAGGCCAAGCAATATTCATATTGACCAATGGTAGCACCAGAAGCAATGAAGAACAGAACATGGAGTCAGTGATCAAGTTGGTTTTACAGATCAATGAAACCAAGCCTACTTTTGAGTCTTCATCACCTTGTTTGGGTCACAAGAGAAGGGCTGAACTTGATTTCTTCACCAAGATAAAGAATCCAAGGATTGAGGAGAAGGAAGAGGATGTGTTGGTTTCTGAAGAAGGGAACAGAAAGAGAGAATTTTCAAGGCATTCTAGCTTTAACAATCTTGATCTCAACATGATAGCTGATGAAGGGGATGATGGGGAAGACAAAACTGGGGGACATAGCCCCATTTCAAGTGATTTGACTAGAGAAAATGTAGCAGATCCTTTGAGCTCAAATGGGTCTCTTGACTCAGTTGAGAACAAGTTTGAGTTCAATGAGAATCCAGAGAAGGAAAAAGAGATGGGAGAAAATTTTTTGAACATGATAAAAGAGTCTTTCGAGGAGGTTTATGGCAAGCAATGTGTGGTGAATTTTACTGTAGAAGAGAGGGTGATAGAGGAAATTGGTGTTGGGTGTGGTTCTTTTACTAACAGCATGTTTGAGAAATGGCTGAAAGACATTTTTCAAAGCAGTTTACAAACAGTTAACTTTGGTGGGAAGGAGGGTATAGGTTTTACACTTTGTTGGGGTGGTAAAGGTGATAGGAAATCGGATAGTGGGTTCATGGGTACTTGTTTGCCCAAGAATATCCAAGTTAACTACTTCATGGATTGATAACTGACTTTGGATAGTGGGGGGGTTTCTTGTAAAATCGTCCAGAAGTTGTAAAATGGATGTAATAGGCTTTGTGTAACTGCTAATTTTCATTATAGAATGTGTTTGTTTTTCTTTTGTTTTAAAACCTTTACTCAGCTATATGTTCCTCACTGCTCCTACTTTTACCTTTTTTTGTTTTCTTTTTTGGTTTCAATAATTATCAAAATGTCCTAGATCCAATGATTTTATCCTTCCTTCAAGTATGAACTTAACTGAATCTAAGTACGTCGGGGAGATTAATAAAGAGGGAGGAGCGATGCATTGAAGATATTTGAGTGCATGCTTCACCATTATGATCATCATCTTGTTATGACATGAAGGAAGTTGGAATAAATTATAATAACATATATACCATAGACTTAAAGAGGATCTTCGTCTACATGCACATACTTGGCCATGTCTTAAAATGTGGATAAGACTCTTTTAAAATTAACTAGTTTTTCAAATAAATTAGTTATGATGCCTTTAATTTATTTACAATGTATTGCAGTCTTAATTTCCTAAAATTTAAGGATACAATCTTATATGCGTACTTTTGGAGATCAAATTTCTATATAGATGTATATGCTAGTTTCAACCTTAAATTCATGTGTAGAAACTCCTTTTAATAGTCCTTAAGCTTGTTGCTAAATTAATCCTTTCAACCCATGTGATAAAGGCATCACGCGTTATGGAACACTACTAAAGATTGCACTATGTATACAATTATTCATATTTTGGTGAAGATTAAGTTACAACACCAAATGATCATTTGTTTGACAATTTAAATCATTAAAAATTAATATAATGTGTGATATCATATATTATCATTTTTATTTCTTGAATATTTTTTAATTTTTAATTTTATATATATATACGTATCTAAAAAATTCATCTCAATTACAAAAATACATTTTAAAGTACTCCCTTCTAACAGTATAAATAACATTTTCCTCTCTTGTAAAAGGTGTCTACTCTCCATGGCCAGTGTTACATAATTACACTTGTAAAGGCGTACCCATTTCATTAGCCAACTCTATTGTGCTCCAATCCTTATATTTCTCATATATAAATTAGGACATTATGGAACCTAAATTATGTTCACGTACAGGACTGGAGATACCATGAACTTGAAGGAATTTGAGAAGTTATGAACACAATCTTCCCTGAGTCATTTTTTAGGCTGTAAATCTAAGATCAAATTCTCATGTGTCAATCGTCAAACACCGCCGAAATTATTGTAGCTGTAGCCAGTATGATTAAGTAACCACTATAAAAAGCTCTCTAACTGTTCCATGTCATAAGACAAATTATCTTGTTTATCTGCAACTTTATCATATGAATTCGAAAATATTTGCTTCCTTAATATGATCAAAGGTTTTTTTTCCCCTTAATAGTTGAGGTGATTTGTTACCTTTTAGACTATTCTGATAGTATGATCTAAATTCAATGCGCTGAGTAATAAGTCATGTGATGAATTGAATTTGAAACAATTTATATAGAATTAGCCAATCGTGTCAAGATATTTCATTCGAATTGCCATCACGGCAGTCCGTGTAATTCACTAATTATGTTATTTAAAAAAACCAGACAAAAAATATATCTATACTGTGATAAATATTTAAAAAAATATGTAATTTTACTACTTTTTAAGAATTATGTTTTAAGAAAACCCGAATACCTTAGGTTCTCCTATTCTGAGTTATATTTTTACGTTTAAGATTTTATATAAGAATTTAAAAACAATTAGTATTCTAAATTTTTTAAAAGTTATTATTTTCAGCCATAATCGATGGGTATCTTCAGCCATGCACAAATATACATGCACCAACCCAATAACCAAAAATAAGACTCCACTACAAGACATTGACGCTTTATGGTTCCAATTTAATTATTTCTTCAAAATTCTTTATCATTGCTTTGACCTTAAAGGTTGTATGATTGAACGGCGTATGTGGGTCCTGTCTTCCCATCTTAGAACACCATCATGGCTTTGATTTCTCAAGTTAGATTAAGATATCATCGTAGAATTTTATATTTCTTTAGAAAAAGCACTTGAGTGTCTTGCTGTTTTAATTATGTAAAGTTACTCTATCATAGTTGAATGATAGATATCCCTTCAGTATAATTGAATTACTGTGTGGCCCATATTAATAATGGACCACAGCAGGAAACATATTCTTCATGGGAGATTAAACAAATTTGATTACGAGACCTATATATTATATCTATTAGTTTCATTCTTCGAGATAAAAATACACATTTTGCAACATGAAACAGAACAATAATTTGATCTATTTCGTATAACGTGAATATTCATTTAAAGTCCAAATTTGTATCGTTATGAGAGAAAAAAACACTTCTTTAATTCGTAGTTAATTAATTTCATTAAAAAAGTTATCTTATAAAATAATAACTTACTCTTGTAAACCCCACCCCACCCTCAAAGAAAAAGGAAAAAAAAAAACTACTTTACAGTTTACACACAAGTATATATTCAATCTATACCATTTTAAATTGTTGTACACTAAATTCTTTCCATGTGACTAAAGTGAGTGCAAGCTGTGTGAATTATAATAATTTAATCAAATTTTAGAAATTATAGTTTTTTTCTTTTTTTGTGAATCTTCACCGACGAATACTCATTGCGATCCAAATTTTTTAACAGTTAAAATAATTTAGTATAGTCTAACGAAAGAAAAAGTAATTTTTAATTTCTCTAAATTATATGGCATTGCTTATTTATTGATGCAAGTCCACTTTAAACGCGTAAAGAGAAGATTATGAATCGCGATCAAATATATTTACATGGTTGTCACTGTCTTACCGATCTAACTTTTAACTATGTGGAAATAGTAAAGCATGTGATCGGGTAGAGTTTCTCTAAAAGCTGTATCTCTTATTAAGACTTGATAATGAGAAACTCCATTTTAGTTTCTCTAAAAGCATGGGTCCCTCGCTTTCTGATTGAATTAGTGCTCTAAAAGAGCTATCAATGGTGTTCAGTTGGAAATAAAAGTGTACAATGATATAGTAGTTTTACCCAATCATCACTGCTGAGAATGCAATTAATTAAAACCTTTTTAAAGGAATAGAAGTTTAATAACCTAAAAAGATATTAGCACAATAAGCTTGAAATCATTACGATTCTAGTGTTGGTATACTTTATTTTAAGTGATGTATACAACTTTTTTATTAACAAAGGATTTAGGATAAGGGTAGACAACCAATTTAAAATTAAGGCTAATTATCAATCTTAATTAGAACATATAGTTAGATTACATACAGACGAAAGAAATTTTTTTAAATCTATATCTAACTCATTCAATTATGGTTAAGAGTAAAGAGTCTACCAATAAAAATAAAATAAAAAGATACAAAATGTGATGCATATGGCGCTGAGAAGCTAGCTAGCTGCTATTAGCTATGTTTTTGTGCCATGCGAGAAGCTCAGTACTCACGAATTGCGCGAGCAAATAAATAAATTTATAATATCTTTTAAAGATTATAAAGTGTGATAAATGTATTATTACACCATATTTTGCATAGCACAAAATTAATTAACATTTGTCGCTTACACATTGTTGAAAGTAGAAAAGTAGTCTGCCTGAGTTAATAGTTATCTTTAATGGAACTATCGCTGCAGGGTAAATCTAACTTAACAGGATTTTTTTATAGCACTATTGACAAGATAATTATACATAGCATATTTCTTCATCAAAACAGAGGTACCAATTTAAATAGAAAAGCACAACATTTATCTATAGTTGCTGTAACGTATCATTTTCTTTACTATGCATTGGATTATTCACTAATAAATGACATCAGTTGAAGTTTATAACTGTAAGTGGTCATTCATGTACAAAGTAATTAATCTCAAAATAGAGGAAAATAGATTCTATACGATGTATATATTTGGTTTTATGATAAGGAATCTAGAACGTGTGTGTAAAGATTAATTTATTAAAACTAAAAGCAAGTTCAGAACATATATAAAACACAACATTTAAACACACAAAAATAATTCAACTACATATTTTTTAATTAAAAATTTAATTTGTTTTTGAATTAACATCAAATTCACTCAAACGTGAATTTATTTTAATACTATATGCGTGTTTCTTTTGACAGTTTTTAGCATACGTTAACGCTACAAAAATAGCTTTTCAATTTCAAACGCATGTGTTGATAGATTATTAGTAAGTTGTCAAATTATAAATTTTAATATTAACACATCATTTGAGTGGAATTCATATTTGAGTAGATTTGATGTCAAAGATAGTTTTAATGTAATTTTGATCAATTTTCCATATAACTACTCAAAGAACGATTGATGTGTTAATATAAAAATTTGCAGTTTGACACTTTGGTATTATATAATAGATTATTATCATTATTATTTTATTTTGAGAAAGTTTTCTATTGCCCACTCTAGTTGTACAAAAATGTTTTGTAAGATGTGTGTAGAAAACAAGGTAAGACCAACTACAGTCAGGTGATGAAAAGTGAAAACTGCATAGTTGTTATGCAGTATTTGTGTTTTTTAATTGAGCAAAACCTAATCAACATTAACACACAAATAAGGTTCTTACCACTAGTCAAATTTTTTATTTTGGTATAATGAATACTATCGATTTATAAAATTGTGACGGATATTAATATACATCGTATAAATAAAGTATAATGCTCAATGTCATGAATTTGACAAAAAAAAAACGATGAAAACAACTTAAAAATAAGTTTCACCATATAAAATCGTAGGTCATAACAGAATGTGTGGAGCCTTTATTTTAAAAAAAGGTAAAAACAAAGTAATGGAACAGACAAATATTATGTATAAAATGAGAGATAATGTGAACCTTGGAAGAATAAAATACATCAGAATAATCAAACGGGATGTATTTGGTAATGTTCTTTTAGTTTCTTTTTTTTTAACAATTTAAATGTATATGATTTTCTAATTCTTTAATAAGAAATCACAAAAGAAAGTATATATATATTAAAAAAAAAGATAAAATAATGAATAACTAAATCGTTATTCATATCGGTAAAATGGAATTGCTCATTCATCCATGTCTTATATGATGCAAATTAATCAACAATTTGTCATACATACGATATGAACCGGTGACTAGTTAAATCACATCAAATCGTGTTATTAACGAATCTAGCATTACTCTACAATCCACATAATTAGCAGTAACACGTAAAAAAATAAACAAATAGACACTTGTCTGGACAGGAAAGAAAAAAAGCTTTCCTTATGGGGTTCCCTCAAATTTACATTGGCTACAGAGCTTAGAAATAATGTAATACAAAAGAAAAATATGGGGCCTAGGTTAGAGCTCCTAAAGAATGAGAAGAGTGAATATAAACTTACAAATCAGGAAAAGAAAAGGCTAGTATACAAAAAGAATGGCACTAAACCACAGTTGGTAATGTACAAATTTGGTATGTAATTTTGGAGCATATACAAAAGGGTGACGGACTTAATAATTTCCCACCCCTCGAGTAGAAAACACCTATTATTATAGATAAAGTCAAAGACCTTACATCGAATTGAGAGGCGTTGTATGTAAAGAGGAATCCTCTGGATCACATACAGACGGACCTGATAAATCCATTGCAGTTTCGAGGTTGAGCAAAGGTTTTAGTCTTCTGTGAACCTCGTCACTCAGAAAAATAATCTCTTCAAGAACCATAGACAAAGCAGATTTGCAAGACTCTTCATCCCTGAATGCCAACGTCCACCTTCCATCCACAAAAGCTCTGGTCTTTAATTTCCCAATGGCATTGAATTTGGCAGGATCCAGAATAGGTAAGGAGGATGGTCGGATCCGCAGGTGCAGCCATCTTGAATGTTTCTCATCAATCCTGGGCTAAAGAATGAGGATAAAAAATGATTGTAAAATTATCATATAATGAGTAGTCAAAGTAAAAAAATTGTAAAATTTTCTTTTTCTATTCACCATTCGATTATCATATCTAACTAAGCCAAATACATAAAATTGTAAAATGATTGTCACCTAAGCATACAACATGATTCAAGATAATGATGCAAAGGTAGCAGACAACTATACATACATTGCACCCAGCCAAAGGTGCAGCCACCCGAACAACTCCATATGGCTTCTTCAGCGGCAGCTCTTCAGCAAGCACAAGCCAGCCAGATGTTCCTATAGAGATTGCTAGAAAACAAAAATGTCGCTCTTTGCCCCTCTCGAAAGCAATTCTACAAGGTATAGCATTAACTGCACATGCAAAATAAGACCAATTTACCAAACTAGTTGATTGCCAACTTACAACACTATTATGCAAGTTTCTTTTAAGGAATTACATAAGATGTACAACCAAAAATAAAGGAACGTATCCACATACAATAAAATAATAACAAATGAAACACCCTCAATTTAATCCTCCAAAGTGACGGGTTACCATATTGATTCTCTAAAAATGTTGCTTATCATATTAGTCTCTATAAAGATCTAAAACATTCTTCTAAAAATTGTCATTGAATTAACCCATCAAAAGATATAACTATATTTATCCTTATGGAGAACTAAAGTAGAGAGTGATAAAAAGAATCTTTGAAGGACTAATGATGCATTACCAACTGAAACTGGTGTCTATTATAATTAAACATTATTTTACTGACAGTACAGCAAGAAGACCTCCCAGAGTTGAGAAACTCCTACAGAGAAAGAACCACATGACCAAACTACCAAATATAAACATTAACTGACTGATTTAATTGGTCTATATGTAATAAGGACTGCTGTTATTTATGAGTTGAACTATCCCTTGTACTTCACATTAATAATTTAGAGCTTGCTACGGTGTTCATAAACTTAAGAGTATTCTATATCCTTCTTGAATCGACAATTATGATTGTTCTAATATTTTAAAAATTGAAGGACATTTATGTCTTTTTAAGATAAATCACTAACTCCCACTATCTATTAGACATATTTAATATAATATTAACAGTTACGATTATTCAACATAAGGACATAAAATACTCTTTTAATCTTCAAGGCACCATAGAAATTACCTAATAATTTTCTTATAAAAAAAACTGAATACGTACCTCCTAACACCTACTTACATAATATTCTAGGAACACATAATTGCCATGTAACTGTCCTCCTTCATTAAGGACAAGATTAAATTTTTAGTACTTCTGCAGTCAATACTCCTATGCAGTTCCATTTCCTTATTTGATAAATTCCTATTTAATTTTTAAAAATTTTAATTAGTGAAAAACTAACCACATATAGGTGGGGTTGCTATATAAAGGAAAGGAGTACATACTGCAGGAGGGCTGAAAAAATTTCAATTTGACACAACCATCCTACATAACTGCCACATGGCAAAGTTCTAAATCCTATGCCCCTTCCTGGAATATACCTTCCAACAGGTGGGTTGTTGGACGAGTCCCATCAACAAATGTGGTGACAAGTGTAATTTTAGAGAATCAAATTGAGGGTATTCTCTGGAAAATGTACCATCTAGAGACAAAAATAAAACTACAATTTTCATAATAAATTACTGTTTAGAACTTTAGAAAATTGCTAACATTCCTTCGAATTTAAACTAAGCACTAGTTTCTCTCTTTTAATCTGGGTTCAAGACATACCATGTTTACAACGCATTTTACAATTTTGGCCTCATAAAGCCAAAAACAATTCCAGTATACATGAGAAACAGCTCTTCAACATATCATTTCTTAAAGTCACAGCATAGCCCATTACTCTTCAACAGCTAAGCACAGTATTATGGAAACAAATTAGACAAACGTAATTATTTCCTCCTTGACTCTCAAATGAAAAAGGGAGATGGAATACAGAGTTTGCAGTAGGAAGAATGGGGTATGGTCCATAGGTTATGAGTATTAGGATTACAGAAATATATGATATTTGTATGTTTTGACGCATATGAAATGTGGTGTCTATCAGTGCTAGGTGTTCTAATGATAGAACGCAAAAACTATAAATACCTATCTAAAATTTGGCATATTTGGTTGTCATGTCTTTATTACTATTAGTGATGATCTCGTGCTATGTTATGCAATTAAAATTGCTAGTCTATTTAAACCCCCCCCCGGGTTCTCTCTCCTGATTCTCTTCTTTCTTCCTTTATGTAAAATCAGTCTAGTAATACATAAAATAGCTATTAAGAACATTTACCAAGGCTGACTTCAGTGCCAAGTTTTGGGCCTGACACATCAAGTCCAGAAGTCTGGGCACGAGAATTTGCCGGGAGATTACCAGGTGGATAAATAAGAGGTTGCTCAGGCAAAGCTCTACCTAAAGTGAATATTTGAAGTTGATGCAGCAGAACAAATACCTACAGAAAGATCGGGTGCAAAATCCATTTAAAAACAAAATTGAGAAAAGCCCAACAGTGTCAGCAAAACATGCTATATTGCATTTTTTAAGAAATAACAAGACAAAGAATAATTGCAGACCATCACCAACTCGTGCACTCTTTCCCCAGCAGCAAATGATGATCCCTCGGCTATATCTTCTGTACCAACAAAACATCAATTAAAGGCCATATTAAAGTACTCTTCATATCGACCAGCCAAAGTAAAAATTGAATGTTGGAACTTGGAACAGCTACAAGGTAAAAGCTTACCTTCGGAAAAGTAGACCTGAGATGGAAAAAATATGCACTTTGGTTCTTTTGGAGGGGAAGATGACTCCATTGCTACAGTAGAAAATTATTTAGTTGAAGGCTTAAAGCACAAAAGTAAACCACTTAACATAAAAATCCATTAAGCACAACAAGATGCATAATAAATTCACCTCTTTTGCACTTTCTCCACTCATTACAAAGAACAGTAATAAGAAGATCAGGCCAGAAACCTCTAACCTCCTTTACAAGAGCAGAAGCAGAATTCTTGTATGAAGTCTGTATTTGAGAGGAAAATAAATGCAACAGTAATTAAGAGATACAAATAGCACAGATATGAGACTCATATTGAATTGAATGTATTGACAATAAGTCAATAACTAAATGAAAACATGCTAAATTCATGTGTATACCCATATTTTGGATGTATAATGACTATTAATCATTTCAAATTTTCAATTCATATGCCATGCCACATTTCTAGTTGCAAGCAATCATTTTACAAACCATCAACACCAAGTCACCCACTGACTATGTTTGCAAACCAAAGAACCATCATCCACAACTTTAAACTAGAACCTTTTAGATGTTAGAAATAACCCCCATTCCATCCCAAAACTAGGATTAAAAAATTTTATCCAGGATGACAATATTTGAAAGGCATGTAAGCTTTGTGAAATTTGTATCAATATCTTCTTCTCTCAAACTACTCCAAAATACATGAAAGATCAATGGAAATGATATTAGGAGAAAGTAGAATTTAATCTCCATGATAGTAAGTCTTAGATTTTGGACAAAGGGTTAACTAGAACCCAAATGCTAACTAGTGAGGTGAAAAATTGTTTTAATATTTATGAACTCTTATTCAACCATATTAGTAGTCGATGTGTGACTTGAACACACAATCCATGCTCAAGATTGGATACATAGAGTGTGAAAATTGTAGAACTGAATTTTATTTTAAAATATTACAATGGTCCAAGGTCACGTAGATTGAACTGGAAAAGTTGCAAAGCCAGCTAGATTGTGTTGGGAAATTCAGGAGCCTGGTTAATTGCACTAGAAAAATCCATGAGGCCTGATTTTGCTTATTGGTCAAGGGTAGCTCAATATTGGGTCTATGATAGGCTCTACTACTTTTAAATTTAAACTAATGCCTAATTAAATCCCAAAAACTAGGTTAACGTGAGGATTGCTTTAGCCTATATAAGTTTTTATTTGTATTTGGAGCCAATGTGAGACTTCAACAGTAAACAATAACAATTTTTCAGGAGATATGCAGTAACTTCATCAACAAGGTCTACAACAATAAAAAAACCAAATTATCTGAATATAATCATACAATCAAAGCTCTTACTATTGCTTTGTAAATCTCAAGAAAGGGTCACCATTTCTAAGGATGTACCCACAGACTTCTTACTGCGGAACCAAAATTTTGAAGACAAATGATAAATATTATAGTTAAATCATGCATGGAAGCGTTAGAGCTCCAACTAAGAAAGTGTATGATTGAATAAATAGAACAGAGCCCAATTCAAGGGAGCCCACAATTGGGTGATGCTTCATGAAAAAGATAGGCAGTCACAGCCACTATAAACAGGAAGAATTTAGGAGAGAAAGGCAGTTCTGGGAGTTGATCAAGTTCTCTATGTCCTGAATAATGTCTCTCTGTAATGTGTTTCATCTTCTCTAGAAACCCATTGTTCCAAGAATAAGTTATAAGGCAATAGAAGATTATCTTCTTTTATTTGTGTCTATCCTGTCCTACCAAGTTCCTAAAAGCAAGATTTTTATGTATGCATAAGAATAATCAAGTCTTTGAAAGTTATATATCTGGAAGAACACTAAACAAATTGTGTGAGTGTTGCTGTAAGGCCTCAAATCTTCTTACTTTCAGCAATTCCAGGTGATGGCTGTTGAATTCTGCCTCGCTATAAGGAAGCAACTGGCGTAAAAGCCAACCACCACCCCACAGTGTCTCTGCAGATATATTAGAACGGCAAAACAGGCTCACTAATGCATCGAGCACCTGAAAAATGCATCCCATATATATAAATTAAATTACTAAACATAACATAATGTGATAGAACTTGCTATTGCAGAAGGGGGAAAGGAGACCAACTTTGAAATTCATAGGTATAGTAGAACAGCAAGAAAAAATACACAAACAGATAAAAGCATTGTTAACAATATTACATCTAATCATTGTATGTTTGAGCAAAGTATTCAATATTACATGTCTAATATCAATAAACACATCCTTGAGAAGTGTTTCATTTCCTTAAACTTGCTACAGTCTCCAAGGTAGGATGCTGTTTAAGCCATCTCTATGATCTCTGGCCAATGGCTGTTTCAAGTTGCTATTTCTTATATGCAGAGAGACTGGGCATCCTTGCTTTGCTGCATTCTTGAGTTTCTCTCATGCTCCTTGTTGTATTTAGTTTCTTATGTTTTTAAGAATATATATTATCCTTCCCCAGTTGGATTTTCCCTCCTTTCTCTCCAATGTTATTCCTCTTCAAATTCAATTTTCAGTAAAAATGGCATCATTGAGTGAAATCAATAAAAATATGACCTTTAGCGAGCAGTCAAATATGTTGATGCTTCAACTCCATTCTCTTAAATGAGAAGATATGTCAGCCAATAAGAAGTCAAGGACCTCCACATGTATAGATGAAAATATTACAAAAAGGGTATGAAAACATGACTTCATGAAATATACACATGTACCTGAAATCTAGGAACACGAGGGCTTGTTACAACATCAGAAGACAGAAAAGATAATCCATACTGGTCCTGTAAAACATGGTAAACAAAAACTAAGGAAGCCAATATCAAGCAAAGTAGCTTCTCAATATTAGTAGGGATGAAAAATGCAACAACTGAACATATAGCTTGCTTCACAAATACATCACAAAAATAAATGAATCAAATCAAACCAAATTGAATATTTAATTGAATATTGGATAAAATCTATTAGAATTTATCAATACTAGATTCAAAATTTCAAATAAAATTTAGTAGGTATATTTATATCCAACCTATGATACATAGATACTCAAAAAATGATGGTGGTGACATATCCATATCCAAAACAAATACTTATTGTAATACACCTGAATTTGTGTTTATAGGCGTATCCTTCTATTTTTGGATATCCACCATCCCCAGAGCACTTCCCAGCCTCGAAGTTATTAATATCCTTGGGAGAGGGATAACTTTAAACTTGGTCTATGATAGTATAATCACATGCAGATATATTTTATTTTATTTACAGATATAAATATACATATTTTATTTAATATATATATTTCTGTCCCAATAATTTAATTTAAAAAAAGAATAGTTATATTGAAGTATCTTATCATATTGGATGCTCATCTCAGTACCTAAGCAACGTAATTCCCAGCAATTTGATGAGAAATAAACTGAATGATAAAATGTAACTACAATTGCTAATAACCAAAACCAAGATCATTATGCAACCAATTGTGGAAATAGAAAAACAACAAAACCCTGAGAAAAACAATTCAGTCAGTTAAGGACAAATTAACCTCAGATAAATTTTAAACAGATACTACACAGTAACCATGTAACATAAGATTCAGTACATTGGAAAAGAAACTCAGAATATATCAAATATATTATGTTAGTACCTAAAACTATTTACATTGTAGAAATATAAATACCCTTACATAATGGAACATGGCAACCTGTTTTCCCTCTAAAGGATCCCTGGTTCAAATCCTGGATACTTACATTTTTTGAAATTGGGGAATAAAAGATGAACTAATCCATGAGATTTGGCCAGTTTGTTATCAGTTCATGACAATCCAGTCACACAAGCAAGGTCAGACCAGCAGGAGGACTAGTTCAAAGTAAACCCAGCCCAACCACCCTGTCCATTTTTCAAAACATGGTACGCAGAAATATTCTAAACCGTTTTAAATTACACTAGTAAGATGGAACAGTGGGATCCTTAAGGGACAAGCATGCAACCCTACATTATGAAGGTCATGACCAGGCATCCCCAACTCACTCTATAACCAAATTAATTATGGTCCCATGAGGCAAAATTAATAAGAGAAAGTATTAATATATTTTGGATAAAAGAACCTGCTAAGCAACACGTCTATGACAATTCCTCTTCATCAAGTGCATAACTAAAACTGGAATGGACACTTAGTTCGAAAAATTCCAGTATTCAACCAGTGTTAATTACCTGTGTGCTATGGACATTCCTGCCTTAGAGAACTAGAAATGCAAATATCCATAATTAGGCTCACTATGAATAAACCAAGAGTGGAAACTAGAAACGATCAGATATTAAATCTAATCACAGAATCAGCTAATAAAACTAATGAACAAAATAAAAAAGTAGAGAACCAAGCTTGGTTTCAAGAAGCAAAAATGAAATTTATAACAAAGGTAGCAAAAAGGGCAGCCACTAACACTGAAAAACAGAGAGAACTGCAAACCTTGATCTTTTCAAGATAGACCTCGAGCTCACAACCAATGCCATCCCTCATCAAGCTATTTTCAGAAGAAAAAAGTCGCTCTTCCCCTGAAGCCTCACCAACCAATGCTTGCTGCAGATATATGCAATGCCAATCAAATAACACATAAAAATATATTGAATTCATCAATAGTAGAAAGAAGTACCAATTCACTTCACTAGATTACAACTATGAGATATTTCCCCCTCCTCCTACTGAAATGAGCCCTATTTCAAAACCAATGGGAAAATAATTAATAAACCATCCAGCAATAACCTTCCTACGTAAACCTGTCCTCCACTAACTTAATCATTGTTTCTTCCAGCAACCAAAGAGAATAGACTACTTTCCTATCATAATTATTCAAGACATTATTATATAGATCAGGTTTTCACACGTCCTAACTTAATTCCTCAGAACAAAAGTTCCTTGCCAAAACTTAATTCATAAAACTTCTAAACACACGGGGATAGATTTCTACAAGTATTTCAAATTTGCAATTCCTGCCATCAAATTTGCAATTCCTGCCATCAACAAACATTCCCCTTTTCCTTGTGCTATCCACAAAACAACTTTCTATCTTTGCATGCGAAGCCTTGAATGGAGTCTTGGCCAGCTCCCTCAACTTCATTTATAGAATATCACATTATAGAATAATATAAAATGTGACTATTAACAGAAATTCTTGACATCTCTTCTTCACAGACAATATAGTTCTAGATGAAGAGTCAAGAGACGAAATAAATGACAGTTTAGTGATGAAGAGACATGCTTTGGAAGCACATGGATTTCATTTAAGTAGAAGTAAAATGTAAGGTCAGCACGAGGCCTATTAATCCTAACATTTTGGGGTGAAACTTTCAGACCATATCATATCACATGGTTTAAGTATCTTCAGTCCATCATACAAAACAAGGGAAACCAGATGGAGACATAAACCATAAGGTGGATAAAATGGACACATGTTTTGAGTGTTATTTGAGACAAAAAAGTACCACCCAAGCTTAAGGGAGAATTTACCACACAACTATAATACCTAAGATGTTGTATAACTCAGAATGTTGGGTAGTAAAAAGTCAACAATAGAATAATGTCAATGTAGCATAGATAGAAATGTTGCATTAGATGAGTGGATATACTAGAGAAGATAGAATGACGAATGAATGTATTAGAGAGAAAGTTGGGGTAGCACCTTGAGGAGAGAAAAGGTAGAATTTGACCGTGGGTGATTCAAGCATATGTTGAGAAGAATTTAGAATCCACAATTAGGGGGTAGATCATATGAAGCGTAGCCTAATCACTAGAGGTAGAGAAATACAATACCAAGAATGTAGTAGGAAAAGGCTGGGTTATTATTGTTGTTGCTGTATTTACAGATTCTGTGATAATGGAACTTGAAGATACATTCAACAGTACTCATAAAGCAATGATGCTAAGGAAAATGCTAATCAGGATAAAGTCCTAAGGAAAAGAAATAATAATAATAGTAGTAGCAGCAGTAAGTTTAGCCTAATCACTGGAGGTAGAGAAATACAATACCAAGAATGTAGTAGGAAAAGGCTGGGTTATTATTGTTGTTGCTGTATTAGTATTAGTAGTAATAAGGTCAAAATGGATGATGCCACATACCAATAACTGTTTCTTGTGCTGTTTGCGTTGTGGAAGAATTCCAAGCCCATCCAGCATTGATTCATCAAGTTCTACAGAACAAGATATATTAAGAAAACAAAAATGAGAGGAACGGTAAAGGAAGCAGATATTCACTGGCACAGCCACAACCTTTCGTTTGCAGCAGAGTGGCAAGCACACTCAGAGAACCCAAAACTTGTACATCATCCCCTTTAGTAACATAAGCAAGCAAAACCTCCCTACATCGATTAGAGTAGTCATGATGACCAAAAAATCACCAGAATTACGTTAGCAAAATCCAAGAACTAGAATATTACTCTTAATTTTATAGGATAGAAATTGCATATTTTCACTTCAATACCTGGGTAAAAATTATAGGACGAATAATTTCAGCTGGCATTACAAGTTTACTAAGGGGCCATTTAGTTTTAAAAAATGTTTTTTTGTTTTAGTTTTCTATTTCCACTTTTAATTACAAAATCGTCACCCTGTTTTCATTTTGTTTCCTATTTTGTTTTCACTGTTTCCCACATAAATCTTTGAAAACAAGAAACAAAATGAAAAAAAATTGTCATTTTTGTAATTAAAGGGAAAACAAAATAAAAACAAACAATTTTTTAAACCAAACAGCCCCTAATATATAAAGAAAAATCCAGGTAAAAATAGCAGCCTTTACCTTAAAGCCAAATTTGAATTGCTACAACTATCTTCTAAGGTACTGCTTTCTGGGTGAAAACCTGAAAAACTAGAAGAGTGTGGCACATTCACCGTCAAGCATTCTGCATTGGACTTGGCTAGATTACCATCATCTGGATCTTCTCTTTTGGATGTAAAACCACGATCAGATACATAACCATTGACTATACCCCTAGAATATTTTGTAAAGGCCTCTAAGGGACAAAAAAGAGCAGCGACTATGGTATTTGCCAAATCTTTGATCTTGACTATCCTTAAGATGCAACAAAGTAAGTAGAGAGAAGTGACAACACCACTTTGCATGTCCTGGATTAAAATGCTACTAAACATTAATAAGAACACGCTGTAAAATATTAAATAAAAATCTGGTCCAAGAAATCCTTGAACAGATGCAAATGTTGATCAAAGTGAACATAGAATGATAGAAAGCCATAAAGTGAAGTTTCATACATTAACATCCACTATCCTCAGGGAAGGCAGAAGTATTGGAAAAACCAGAACCATCAGAATGCTGTCCGTTATTAGCCTCCCAACATCAGGAATTCCAGCAGAGATAACATCACTAAAGTAATACAGGTTATCCTCAATTTCATCTACAGCAGCAATAATTGCAGAGGTAGAATCTTGGCCTGGATTTCTGATAAAGACAACAATCAAAAGAAATAAAGACCGGTAAACAATCACTTAAAATGATCGGTGTTAAATCTCACTATAGGGTAGAATGAGATATACAAGGATCAATTATACTAAAGAAAAAGAACTCAAGGAAACTGTCCAAGCCAGAGAGGCTGAATTACTCAGGAACTTTCTTCCTACCACACTTCTCCCCCCCCAACCAAATTCTCCTTTTCCAAACCCCATCATGGGCCTCCAGCACCTTGCCCATTCAGCACAACTAACTTCCAAGTCCTTCGCTCCTTCACCACATGTTCCCCTTTTTTCTCTCCTAGAGTATACTCTTAACTCCTTCCCCATGCAGTTAACCTGTTGACCCGTTAACACTTCTTCCTTCCTTGAAATAATAGGCCTAAAAGTCTCATCAATTTATCTCGGTAAACATAATTTCTCTTTCATAAAACAAGAAAATCTGAAATTAATATGCCAAAGACAAAAGAAACAATGATGTCTTACTTCAATGTCTCAGAGACCAATCTATTTAAATCCATACACTGCTTCCTGAAAAAGGAAACCAGGTTTGAGAAGTAATCGGTGCGAGGTGCGCTGGCTATATATCTATTAACATATTCGTCCCCAACTGAAAATTGTACAGACAATTGTCAGGAAATTAAATTTTTCTCATCATAACTCAATTCAGGAAAGAAATTGGGGATGGGGAGGGAGGAAGTAGAAAAAAGGCTATGTAAAACAGTAAATCTTACCATGATATACATTAAGGGTCACAGTGCGTACAGCTGTGCGAACCATGTTCTCCTCATGAAAGGCAAAGCGTATTGCCTCAACATACAACGGAAATGAAACTACTTCATCCTAAATGCATAGAAAAGTACAATAAAAATACTTGGACATCTCAAAAACAAAGGCAGATTTTTCTGATATCTAATTCCTAGGCAAAATATTTTTTTAAAAAAATTCAACTATGCTTGAAAGAGTGAGTAAAAACAGATTGCCTACTATGAATATATCCATAAAATTAATAATCTCACAAGATTGAACTGTTACAGCTTATAGGACTACCGATTGCTCAACAAGCTTCTAGCTCCAAACCATTCATTCACCTAGATATCAGCCTCAATTGCAGAAAATGGAGTTTTGACGTATTTAAACTGTTAACTTTTGATACTTCCTTTCATTTCTTTGTTTGATAAAATATTTCAAAAAAAAAATCTGCCATACTGTCATACACTTAAATCTACATTATCCATCTTTTATAGGCAAGAGCTAGAAAATCAAACCAAAACTTTGTCTCCTCTCCTTTTCCATTTTAAAGTCATAAACATGAGAGCAACTACCCAAGATTTATGAAGACCATGTTACAGGTCTCCCTTAAGGTAAAAATCTGAATCTATCTGAATAAGAGGACTCGGAGAGCAGAGAACTTACATTGTGAGTCTTCACAAGCAGAGAAATTGTACTTTTGTTCAATTTTCCACTTATTGCTCTTCAATGACCAGAAGACATTTAACCAAAGAACTAGTTAGAAAAATTCTACAAAGGGGGGGGATCAACAAAAACTATACAACCACAGAAAACAGATTTCATAAATGTAATCACAAGCTGCCATTTATCAGTAGGAAGCGTTAAAACGAACCTTAAAAAGGATATGTAGTATGACAATAGCTCCTCATTGCGAAAATCGAATGAATATGTAATTAGGTAGTTCATATGTTCATTACTAAACATATAGTCTGCAAAAGTTACAATAGAGAGTAGAGACAATTATCAAGCTATCAATATTGTTAATTGTAGTTAAGAAACTGATGTAACTGCAGAATAGGGCACTTCATTTGACAATCAACTTACATATAGCATGTTCATTTCTTAGGTTCTGGATCATAATGCTCACTGTTTGTAGCAACTGAAGTGGAATGCTAACAGTTCTGCTAAGTTTAAGAATACGTACAAACTCTCCCACAACTTGCTTTTCCATGAAGAATCTGCCACAAGCCAGGATGTATAAATTGCCATGCCAGCACTAAACCAATTTTACAAAGGAACATAAGAACAAGGAAATCTCACTCAAAAAAGCTCGGGTCATGTTGGTCACCATACGTTATCAACTCCGCAATTGATCTCAATGCCTCAATAACAAAATCCTTCCATACATTACACAATTTAGAAAATTAAGGGAACCATGAAAATCAAGTCAAAGAAAACTCTAAGCTTAGTGTTACCTTATTAACCTCGTTAACTATTTGAACTTTTGTCAATTGATCGGTTAAGTACCTAAGTACCATAAGGCAGCAGGACAACACTTAATGAATAAACAAAATAAATAATCAGTAAACATTTGCTATATTATCATTAAGCATATACCTACAAAAGGAAGTTCAAGTCAACATTCAAGAAATCACAATTGGGGAGAAAGACTCTAGTCCTCTGTCTCCTCTCCCAGTCTCTTTGATAAAATGCTGACAGCTAAATAAGAAATACTGCCTATTAAGAACATGTTTGGGAAAGATTAACTTCCCAAAAGTAATTGCCTATTTCTTAAAAGCTCTCTCCTAAAGCGGGAAAAAAAATAGCAATTATTTCTCTAAAATAAGCTGAACCAAACATGCACTAAGAGAGAGGACTAATCTTTCTCTTTGTTATACATATTTTACCACAGGAAACATGATTGGCAACTGGCAACATGGAGAGAGAGAGAGACATAATCGAATCATTGATCGCCGGAAAGCGAAATTCATATTTTTGTTTCTAATTTTCCGTTCAATAATGTGGCATTTACGAGAATTGAGAACACGCAATTGACAGATTTGAAACGCAAACCTGAGTTGATCCAAGGAAAAACGATCTCTGGATCTCCAGAAGGAAAACCACATGGTTGTGAGAATCAAGGCGCCAAATTGAGCTTTCTGAAATTCATCCTGAATGGAATTCGAAACTGCTCGATCCTTGCGAGCAGCTTCTGGAGAGAGACAGAGAGAGAGTAGGGTTTTCGAAAGACGGTGATGAGAGAAAGAAGCAGGAACACTTGGCCTTTGATTAACGAAGCATTTAGAAGAAGAATTTGAAGGAAACTTGAAAAGTGATGCAATTTGTCACACGATTAACAGGAAGGAGGAACTCGCCACTTGCCTACCCGGATCTGCCTTCGACCCGATTTTTCACGTTATGTGGACCGGGTTTTCTGTAAACTCTCTCTCTCGGCCCATTGTGTCTATTATTATCTTCTAAATGGGCCGGTTTGATTAATTCAAGCACAGAAAACATAAAATTTGTCCTATTAAATGTAAGTGTGAATTGAGTTTATAAACTTAAGTTTTAATTACTTTGAGTTTATAAAATTTATATTTTATTTTAAAAAATTAAATTAATTTAGTTTATGTTTATAAATTTATCACTTAAAAATAAATCTGTGATAAAAATTAATATAAAATGTACAATTTATCATCTTGGCTCAAACATAATTTGAAGGCAAAATTGATTTTGTTTTGGAGTAATTAAAAATCAATTTTTCTATAAAATCGTGTTTCAATAAAATGAACATGATTAAGTGAAAATTCAACACGAATTTAAACATAAACTAACTCACAAACATTTCAATGACACGTATTTTTTTATTTAGATAAATGTCAAGATTATAATTTAATAAATACAGTAAAAAATATATATTTAAATTATAAGTGAGATACATAGTATTGAAAGTCTATCAGATAAGAGATGTGAGTATGAGAAAAAAATATCGTATAGTTAAAAAAGACAGTTAAGATCATAAATACATAATTAAAATAATTATGATCATGTATAATTGTTTGACTAAAATTAACTCCTTTCATCTCTCATATAATATTTTATTAGTGACTAATTTATTTAAATTTAAAAGATGCATAATTAATTTACAATAATTACTGACATGTTATTTTTTAAATGATAATAAATTAAGAGATTTAATCATTCCTAATATATTAAATTGTAATATACAATAATAAATCACGATTAGAATGATTGACTGATTAACTTACTATTTTATTTTTATACATAATTATAAATTTTAGAAGATTTTTTTTCAAAAGAAGGGTAAGATTTGGGTGAAAGATAAAATTGTAATTTTTGCATGTAACAGAGTTTGAATCTGCTTTTTACGTTTCATTTCAATTTTTTTTGTTTTCTATCTTTTTACATGTTTCTCAGTTTTAAAATTTATCGACTCATAAAAGGGCCAATTTTATAAATTAATGACATTTCAAAAGCGATATCAAATCTACAATTGTCATTCTCTTGCATACTCCACCGCTTACCAGAGCTTTCGTTTTATCTGGCTGGTTACACCTTATGGCCACTCGTCCATTGGCAATTGCACCATTGTTATGTCATAATCAAGTTAATTATTACTTGTTATGATTAAGGAGGGCATGTTAATTATCTTCCTACCACCATGATAACCTCAACTGAACAAGCAACTTCAATTTTAATAATTGGTCTGGCAGTGTGAATGCTAATTTTTTGTCTCCCGGGAATTGCTTTCAACTTTTTTAAAAAAAATATATATTTTACAAAAAAATAGAAAATTAAAAAAAAAAAAGAAATTTAGCTCCTAAAAACGAAAATTTTGCAATATGCATATTAAAGTCCAACATCTACAATAAACTTTAAAACTTAAGAAAAAACATAAAAATCTGGTCCTCATATAAAACTCTAAAGGGACCAATATAAAAAACAAGTAAGAGTTTTGAAGTAGGAGGATGACAACTATTTTTTCAGAGAGGGAAAGAAAGATTTTTAGAGGGACAACAAATTTTCAAAAAATTATAAAGAGAAAACTGTGGTGACCGGAAGAGGGTGTAATCAGAAAAAAGAAAATAATGATTCAGAAATTGAAAACGGGAGCATAACTATTAGGTATTTTTGTTCTTACCTTTGTCTTACTTCAAGTATAGAGATAATAAAAGGAGCTTTGAAAGGGTTACATAACAAACAATAAATACGACAGAAGACTAAATTTTTTAATAATATAACGTTTTGTTTGAGGGGAGTATGATTTGAAAGAACGGAGCAATCGCATTTGCCGCTACCTGTACATATGCAGAAAACTATATCACATCAAATCATTTTTTTATTATTATTTATTTTGTTTTGTTTGCTTTTGGATGAACGAATTCTTTTCTTTCCTTTACCTATTCTTATCCAATGTATTAATTGCATATCGTCTATTTTTATTCTTTATTATTTTATTTTACTTAGTTAGTTAAATAATTTTACTTATTTATTTATTGTTTAAAAAATGAAAGTTTTTATTATTTTTATTTCATATTTTATTTTTTATTATCTTAAACAAAATATTTGATTTCACGTCTTTATTTATTTAACTTGATTGAACTTCTCTTAATTGCATTTATTGATTTTAAGTATTAATAATTAAAATAATGATAAAAATTATTAAAATTAGATTAAATGCAATACAATGCAATTTATTTTATTTTATTGTAAATTTTTTAATTACAAAATTTAACTCATATTAATGCGATAATAAGTTCTTTCTATAATCTTTTCATGTTATTTTGTTACTTAGACTTTAATTATTATGTTAATTATTTTTTTTTTAATTTATGATTATTATTTTTTATTTTATTTATTATATATTTGTAGAATATTGATGTAATTTAATTTTATATACACAAGTACTTTCTCGTATATCATTAATAATAAAAAAATAATTGCATCAATTTATAACATTAACGTATAACTTCTCTATTGTCGTGTGTTACAAATTGATAAAGTTTACGTGTACTTACATTACTGAAGCTTTAAGAAATATTAATTTATCACATATTATCTATAATTAATTAAAAAATTATCTTAATAACTAATCGAAATATATTTCCTATAATTACTATTTTACCAAATCAATCAATTTAAATAGAAATTTTTTATTAACACAATAATTTATAAAGTTAATATGTAGCAACTCTACCTTTATGCGTTATAAATTGTTAGAACTTATGTGTGCCAACGTTACTTTAGGTTTTATAAAACATAAATTTATCAAATGAAGTTTTTAATATTTTTATTAAATAAGTATATTTTTTAATCAATTCAAATATATCTACTTCTTTTATTAAAATGAAATTAATCTTATATTTTAAATTTTTTAAGTCATATTTCTAATTTTGATCAATTGAATAACTAAACATTTCTTTACTTATTTATATAATTTTTTATAATATCGATATGTAATTTACATTGCCTTCGATTATCTAACAAATTATACGAAATTTATGTATAACTTACATTATCTTAAATTTTTTTTCAACATTAATCATAATCCAAAATAAAATCTAAATACTTCATTTACAAATAAAATATTTTTATTAATTTACAATATAGTTGTGTGATTTTCCTTCACTATCTGTATTATTTCTCGTACGGTAACGGTATATGTATAATCGTGTCATCTTGTATCTTAAATATTATAATTTTATAAAAATAATTTTAATTTTAAAATTATTTTTTTTATTACTTTATTGCACTCAGGAATACATAAAAAGCAGAAACCAGAGTCGTTAAGTCAAAATAATTTTTTAAGATATTTATTAACATTTTAATAAATAATTTGTCTTTATTTAAAATAAATAATAATAATAATAATAGTTTATAGGTTAAATAAATATTTTTTAAAATTATGATGAATTTACACAATTAATTTAAAATAACTATTTTTAAACGGACATTATAAGACACTAATACATTTTTTATATGTAAATGATTTTTAAATTTATTTTTAGTTTTAAAGATTATATTATTTAAAAAAAATTAAAAAAAATTTAAAATAAATTTTAATAATGATTTCTCTAATTTTTAAAAAATATTTTTATTTTTAAAAAATATTTTTAAATATATTTTTTTGCTGTAACGTCATGACCAACTGACAGGCAGCAGTCAAGACTGATCAATAGTATGGTAAATCAATTTCAATTATATTAGTAGAAAACAGTGACAATTGCCAAACAGCTACTAAGTAAACGTTCGTTGAAATTATCAGTAAGTTTTTTCCTTTTTAGGTATAGCCGTAAGCTAGTTTAGCTTAGATGTAGCGTAATCAGGAATATATTTTAAAAATGAGGTTATTAAAGATGTTATTAATATTCAAATTAAAAATAATAGATTATTTTGCATATAAATAAAAGGATTATTCTTACGTTTTAATGTTGATAAAAAGAAACAGTAATAGATTTTTTATTAAAGAAATAGAAAAGGACGACGGAAATTAGAATCAAATGAACTGGAAGGGAGAAATTTGACACTTGGTAGAGCAGGAGACCAATGGGGATTTAGTTACAGGCGAAGTTCAAGTAACATATTTTTTTTACTTAATTTTAGTTTTTTAAAGTTTCAGATAATAAGGTTCTTTTAATTTAATCAAAAGTTGATTTTTTTTCAAAATATGATGTATTTTAATTTATTATTATATTTTATGTTAGTTTCTTATATTTATTTTATGTATTTTATGAGTTTTTTTTATTTTTTTAGGTACTTTTATGTTAATTATTAATTTTTAAATTTTTTTAGCTTTGTAGTGAATTTGAGATAAAAGTAGCTTTTAATCTTGATTTTTTGTAATTTTTTATTTGCAAGAGTCACATGGATTAAATCAAAAAATGAATAAATTCAAAGTTGAAAGCTTTACAAAGATTTTAGAAGAGTAATAAGTAAATTAGAAATTTCAAATTTATGTTGCAAATATTGTGTAAATTACACAAAAGTTTTACATAAAGACATATGATTATAAGGGATAAAAAGAATTTATTCCTATGCAAGTCACGTATACATTCAAATTTTGCATAACTCATGTCAAAAGAATTTTAAATCCAAGGTATGTTCAAGTGTGTCATAAAATTTTTATCGTTCATGTAGATAGAATATAAATACGATTTAAACGAGGTAATTGAATTTTTTTTTGTCTCTTTCTAGTATAAAATATTGTTTATAAGTATGTTATCTTTCTATCCAATGATTTTGTAGAAGTTCTGGACACTGAGGAATCAACTTTTAAGATATTTGCTCTTTTATTTAATTTTTTATTTTTTTTATTATA